ATATGCTTTGTCCACCTCTTTGTGTTCTACAGGAGTCTGCTCCGAACTTGAAATTTACTGTAAGTCGTCATATTTTCTTATAGAGTTTTCGAACTTTGCCTTTGCCCGCCAGCTTCTCAAGCTCTTCATACTCACACATCTCGGCCTCTTTCTCTTTTTTGCCTACAGATGCGTCTTCCCTCTTCAGCTCTCGGTATCTATCTCACCCCGAACGTGTAGAGGACGATAGCAACGTTGCGAGGTAGACAGTCTACTTTCCCTCCACTGCGACTCGGCAGCCCCCGTAAAGAGACCTTTCCGAAATCCAGTACTTTCTTTTGCAGCTGTACATAGGGAACGTAAAATGATTCAATAAAAAAGTAAAATTTATAAGTGTTCCCACCTCTACAAAAGTCCAAAGATGAATCTCTATGTCACCTTTAACACTTCTCCACTAATTGAAATGCCTTTCAACATTATTTACGCCCTCGGCCACCTAAAGGATATGGAGTCGAATATATGTATGGATATTATTTTCAAATTGAATTTTTCATATTTTCCTTAGCAATTAGTAAATATTTTCAACAAAATTTTTGCCCTGTAGCGAACAAGCAACAACAACGAATAGAAGTTATTACACATACAAATAACCATTTGCTGTTGAAAAAATATGGCTTACATCACCAATAACCGTGAGCAACAGACAGTTTTTATGGGTCTACTTGTTATAAGATCATAAAGCTGTAAGAAATTATGCAATAAAATGAAAGTTAAAAGCACACGCACAAATGTACATAAATGCGGTGGTATATATTGGTACAGCACAACATTCACATATGTAATCAAAGTACATAAACTTCTTGTAACTCAGTTGAAATCATGTGTTATTTGAGGGCTTCAGTATGGCCGTGTGTTTTGTATGACTTTAAACTTCATTCTTTTTTTTTAAATTATTGTTAATGTCATTCATTTCATTGAAATTACCACAACGCAGATATCCCTACCAGAGAGCAACAGCATAAAATTAAAGTAGAAGACTCACAACTGCTAAGAGTTGAATGCTGTGGCAAAACAAAACATAACTTGGGCGTGACAGAACTGCACAAATGTACACAGACACACTTACACACACATCGAGAGCAATAAAACAGGCAACCAGCATCAGTAGTGAGGGTAGTGTAAATTTAGTTTCTCCTTGCAACACACATATGACGTGCAACACTCGAGCTTTTTGCGGGCAGTCAGAACAATATTTTCAAATCATTCCGAATGCGTAGATAGTAGACTACACATACTTATATATAATATAGTATGATGTGCAAAACAAATTAAAACGTGCTTGTACAAACAGTGCTTGCATATAGACTCAAGCATTATCAGTGTAAGGAACAGCCTTTTGCCATCCTTCGTGTTGTGGTCGAGTGGCAACTGCAGTTTAATACGTCTACCTCGGCTTGGCTGCATTTATATGGCTTTTTTGTGGTTTTTTCAAAAGTTCTTTACTCCATTCCTCAGCCTTTATGTTTACTCATAAATATGCAAATATCCTTAAACACATCTTAAATCATTTCCATTTCGATTTCTTTTTTAATTTCGCTTTCCTCTCTGCAATTAATAATTCTGTGGTATAGGTATGACATTAACCCTCGGGCAGTACAATGTCTGCTGCGGCGAAGGTGGTTTGTGGAGAATTTTATACATTTTTCCTTAACTAACAATTATAATGCCTGCGCGTTGCTGTACGTATATATACATATGTATGTTTGAATATAAATACATAGATTATAAATAAAACTTGCAAGATTAGCACAAAATCCAAATTAATATATTTATTATATATATACATATATATATAAATATAATTGGCTTTTGTAACCGCTAGAGCGAATTTCTGAGGGACCTACAGTTTATAAAAAAATTTAATAAACAAAATAAATTAAAATTAAATAATTTGAAATAAAATAGAATAAAATAAAATAAAATAATATAAAATAAAATACAATAAAATAAAATAAAATAAAATAAAATAAAATAAAATAAAATAAAATAAAATAAATTAAAAAAAAAAAATAAAATAATATAAATTTAAACTAAAAAATATTAATTTAAATAAAAAATAATAATATAAAAAAATAATATAAAAAAAAATAAATTAAATTAAAGTAAAATAAATTAAACTAAGTTAAAGAAAATAAAATAAAAGAAATTTAAACTAAAATAAATAAAATGAAATAAAACTAAATAATATAAAATTTAATTAATTTAAAGTAAAATAAATTAAATAAAATTAAAAGAAAAATAAAACAAAAAAATAAAATAAATTAAAATGTAATAAAGTGAAATAAAATAAATTAAAATAAAATGAAATAAAATTAAAAATAGAAAATTCAAAACAATACAAATAAAAAGAAAAATAAAATGTAGCAAAATAAAATAAAATTAAGTAAAGAAAAATGACATAAATGAAATAAATTTAATTTATTTATAAACTAATACAACATTCTACTAAAATGAACTGTACAAAAATAAAGAAAATCAAATAAAAAAATTTCAAGGAAAATAAATTAAGTTAAATTAAATAAAAAAAATTAAACAAAATTAAATGAAATATAATAAAATTAAAAAATTAAAATGAAATAAAATTAAATAAAAAAATTCAAATCAATTCAAATAGAAAGTAAAATAAAATGTAATGAAATAAAATAAAATAAAGTTAAGAAAAATTACATAAAATGAAATTAATTTAATTTATTTATAAACAAATACAACGTTTTAGCAAAATAGTAAAAAATAATATAATATACACATAAAATATTAGTAAATTAAAACAATTAAGGTAAAGTTTAAAGATTAGATTAAATAAAGCATTAAACTAAACAAAATACAATATAAAAATGAAAATAGAACAGAATTAAAACAAAATAAAAAATGAACTTAAATGGGATGTAAAAATTATATTTTGCGACATTAAGCAAAAAAACAAAAAAAAATTAAATTTACATAAATGAACATAAAATTATTTTAAATTATTTAAATACAATTAAAAAGAATAAAAAATTTGCAATGAGATAATAAAATAAAAGGAAATTAAAAAATTTAATTAATTAAAGTAAAATAAAATAAAACAAAGCAAAAAATACAAAGAAAATCCAAAAATGTATGGTAAAACTTCAAACTAAAGTAAAATGCAAGAAAATTTAGTTAAATAACAAAATAAAATAAATTACAAAAGCAAAATAAACTAATAGAGAGTGAATTAAATGAATTTAAATTAAAATAGATTCGATGAAAATATAAGTAGAATAACGATAAAATACCAAAAAAATTAAACAAAAAAGTTTAAATATATAAATAAAGGACTTAAAATGGTCAGTAAAATTTTTGCTAAAATTATCGTTGTTTTCATTATTATTTAACTAAACAACAGAGGTCTCCTCTAACATAGATTGCGCTGCACCTCAACGGCATGCAACATCATCATCAACAGCGCCCGTAATGGTCATTGAAGCGAATTGCGTGCCTATTGCTATCTTTGACAAACAATTTCAGCTACATCTTCTTCTTCTTTTTCAATATCCGTGGCATTTGTAAATGTTGTTTTCCCATTTCTCCCTCCGCTGCCACGCTATATGCTTTATTAGGCCATAAATAACACCTTGTAAGTCATTACAGGTACTCAGAATTGGCGACGAGCTTTTCGTCTCTACTTCTCGGCTCTTAAGTCTCCTGTTAGATGTACGTGTACATATGTAAGTAGTGTTGTATATTTTTTGTAATCTATGTTTTCTTTGCTCTGGGGTGTTGCGAAATTTCTTCGTAGAAGATGTTGAACTTTTCATGCAGAACACGCATAACAACATACATACGAGTGCACAAACATTTCCACATTTATTAATCTTCTTAGAACATTACAAACGACAAGATGATTTAAAGTAAAGAAAGCAAAAAAATTGAATATTTATGTGGAGTTGCTTGTCCAACTTTAATATACTCATGCAACACTTTTTATGGTGGCACATAAATTATCGATGAACCGTGGAATGGTACAAGTGTGCGTGTGTGTATGTTTCAATAAAAAAAGCGACATTAGAGTCCTCGAGGCATTACATTGTAGTATATCAACAACAAAGCGAATCGCCTATTTATTCCTTTGAATTTTAACATAAAGTATAATAAAGTAAAATATTCCTTCATGCAAAAAAAAACTATTCAGGGAAGTGGAATAATTACAAAATCAAACGAATCCTCCTAACAAGGTATCCCTATATACAAGCTCTTTATAAATTTACACTGTTGACTTCAGGAAATAAGAATTATCACAACACAATGTAAGGAAACAGAAAAAAAGTAGTCCATCCGCTCCAACCAGAGTTACCACAAGGAATTACAGTCATTAGTAAGCCTGGTTTTAAAAATTGAAAATCTTAAGGCCTCACTTCAAGAAGCTTTGAAAATATTTTTCTCCTTAAGCTGGGTCGAAATTTGTCAATATTTTAGCTAGATAATCACACAGGGAATGTCAACATTTCCTTTTATATCTTCCGCTGTCACCTGAAGAAGGCCAGCTCCGGGTTGAACAATGGAGAGCAGACATGCCTCACACGGGTCTTAAAAATGAGCATGAATCTATAAAAGGTATGGCATCTACTTTTACAGTCATGTCACGATGAAATATCTCTCAATGAATTTTCTCAGTTTTTTACTGCTTGGCTCTTACTGAGTCATTGGGTCTTCCGTCCCAAGTGTAACTCGCTAAAACAGTACCGCGTGAAAAACCACAACCCGAACCGTGGTCCAGTAAAGGTATTTCTCTGTAATTCGCAACTAACTATTCTTCGTGTTGCCAGCCGAAGATATTACTTTTCGTTGTTTTTTTTTGTTGTTGCGATTTCGCACAAGATTTCTAATGTAAAAATTTAGCTTCAATATCTTAGCTATTATTATGAAGTAGATTAATTGTTATTGCCAAGAATCTGCGTGTATATGTATATGATTATCTCTTATCTTCTTTTTCATTACAGAACTCAGCCTGAGTACAGCCAGCGTGTATTGGGAGCGACTCTTCAACATTTATTCCGTAATAGAATTCTTGTTAGCGACGAGGTGTAGCGCTATAAAGCCGAATGCAGTATCTCACTTACGCACTGCAAACATCCTCACGTTTCCTCACAACGTCCAACACCACAACCTACACTAATACCGCCTACAACACCAATAACAACAATTACACTAACCCGCATTTGAATACCGTAAACAGTGCACAAACCATTTCCAACAACAGCAACATTGGCACAAACCGCCCGACGCATAACCCCAGCAACAACAATAAAAGTAACAACAACAACATTAGCAATACGAATAACAATCCACAACAGCCGCGAAACCTATTGACGAGCAACACAAACATATTAGCAACAACAACAACACCACCAACAACAACACGTCGCAGGTACAGTGATAACTTGACGTTAGCAGGTACGCCAGCAACAGCGGCGGCATCGGCAACAACAATTAAAACGTACGAACAAACAACAACAGCAACGGCAGTTGGCAGAACCGCTGAGGGAGCAACAACTACAACAACACTACCACCACTAAACAACACTTGCTACGAGTGCCATTGCAGCGCCTCAACAGCATACGCCGGTGTAGCACCAACAACAACAGCAACAACAACATCGTGCCGTACAACAGCGCCCACCGCGACCGCATCCGCCTCAGCAGCGACAACGGCGCCGCAAAGCCAATGAAATTTACTAACGATTAATGTTAGCATTGCGCGCAATAAACTGCTTTCATTCTTCAATCGCGACATGGCCGCAACGGATGGCCAAATAATATTGGCCGCCTCTCGCTTCGACGACAGCGAACCGTCGGTGTATTTGCGCGAATTCTCTAAGCAAAAACTACCCGCTGTTGCGAAAATTGTCAAGGGCCAACATCAGAATCTCGGCGTGCCGACTCTATCGGCGCCATCGCTGCAGAGTAAGGCGCTATTTTTGAGCGCAGGCAAAAAGTATCAAATACTCGCACAGCCGATAAAAATCAAAGAGGGACGAAAGACGACAAATGTCGGCGCAAAGGTGCTCATACCGGAAACATATCCCGGTTACTTTGAGCTACTCAGCGAAGATGGCCGTTCGACGCGTTGTATTGATTCGGTGCTCGAGCTATCGAAGCGTCGCAATTTACGCGTTTTGGTGCGTGAAACGTTCCGCTGTACGCAGATGAATCGCACCATACACGCCGGTGAGCTGTTGACGACGATGAACGATAATGGCAAATACTTGCAGTGCAAGAATATCAAAGATGAGATCATCAATTTGCCACTCGATACCAAAGCGAAATTCTCACCGATCGCCAAGGAAGATAGCATTAGTGGTGTGCACACGGTGAAGAATCTCCTACTCAAACGGATGCCAGTCATTGTGAGGTAAGTAATGGTTTCTTAAATGAATCTATGTATATACATTTATATGTATGAGTATACACTTTGTGATTTTTATGGGCCGAAGTAATTTCTATCAAAAGTTTACATCGGTAATTAGGGAACCCTTTCGAAAGCAGAGCTTCTCGGTAGCTTGAGTCTCCGAAATCTTAACTGATCTCAGACTTATCCATGAAAAAGCTCACCATTTCTGCCAAATTTTTTCTTCAGAGCACATTTCACCCCGTGAAACCGCCACTGCGCTCGAGGGCTTTCCGAAACTCTGGACTTAGATATATGCCCTATACAATTACTAGAAAGCTGCCCTAGTAGTACTGATACATTGAGATCGGAGCCACATTCCGACTGCGGCTTGGGAAATAGATTGTCTGTCTGACGTTGCTCTCCAGAAAGTTTCACCCGATTTCCGCTAACGACTGTACTTTCGGAAAGCAAATTTGCTTTCGAGGACTTCATCACATCAATGAAGATGCCGAGGGTGTTTCATAAGACTTTTATATCGAAAAATGGAATTCTTCATTTCTCAATATGTATGTATCCACCTTCGAAACCTTAGCCATATCCTACAAGACTCAGAAATGAATGCATCTTTCAACATGTCCTTACTACTGTCACTCGCAACAGAACCCTCTTTTAAGGTCTGCCTAAGAAGGCAGAAGCTCCTATTAACTAATTTCCCTTACACTCGGCTCTTTTCATTTCGAAATATGACCACCATTCTCTTTAACCTTAAGTCGAAAAAATAGCTTGTTCTCAAACTATTCCTTCCACCCCTTTTTCCAGACTTGTTCATGGCAGTGCACCCAAAGGTCTCAAGCAACCCTTCGTACCAGAGCTACGTCTACTAGGCTGTGTGGAAATTGATCGCATATTTGCGCTCCCCCTCCAGAAGGATAACGATTTGGTGCCAGTACCGTTAAATGTGAAAATAAAATTACAACGCGCACGTAATATGGAGCAGCTGGAACATTTTATAGAGTATACCAGATTTCTGGAGAAGGCGCAGCGTCTGCTCTCGGATGCACGCGATCGGCTGCAAATCGTCGATCTTAAGTTATCGGAGAAGGAAAAGAAAGACTCAAAATTCAGTAGTCGAAATAAATTACCCGTGGTTATGTTGCCATCAGCAGCCGTGGCCGGCGGCCTCATGGAGAACGGCTATGTGCTGCGTAAGAGCGCCAGCTGTGATGCATATGGCAAGGGTATTGGTGGTGCCAGCAGTGTACTCACAAGCGCTGAGATCGCCGAAGAGTACAACGAAATCGATCATATTTACGATTATGTGCGGGGTCTAACGCCACTCTCCAAGGGTTTGTCACGCTTCGAGCCGATCTGTGAAACACCGACAATCAAGTCACATCATACCGATAGTAGCGGTAATTACTGTAGTCTCATACGTGTGGGTGCGCAGGCGGGTGGCAGCAACAACAACAATAGCAACAATAATGGTAATAGCTTAAATGCCAGCAGCGGCAGCAACACAAATCACAGTGGCGGCGGTGGCAGCGGCAATAACAACAATAACAACTACAGCAGTTTAGAGTCGGTGAAACACACGGCGGCGACGACAACAACACACACAAACACGAACAGCAGTCACAATAGCAGTAATCCAAGTCACCACAACAACACTGGTGGCAGCGGTGGCAGTATTGGCGGCAGTCATCACCATCACCACCATCATCAGAGTCACAGCCACAATCATCACAGCCACAGCACACACCCACACCTACACCCGCATGCGCACCCCCACGCACATCAGTCAAGCGGCAGTGGCGGCGCATTGGTCAACCACTACCATCATAGCCATGTACAAGAAGATATCAAACCAGTGCCACCGCCCATCGAGACGATACCGGGTAAAAAGTTGCCAGAAAAACGGCAACGTCCCACACTACCAAAGCTTTATCTGAAGAATACGCATAGTACGGGTAGCAATGCAGTCAATGGTGCGTCAGCAGCAGCTGCAGCAGCCGCAGCGTCAGCCAGTCATCATCATCATCATCACCATCATTCAGCGCAGACGCAACACCCACACGTCAGCAGTTCGACGGCAGCTGTGGTCAGTGCTACAGCAGCAGCGGTGGCAGCACATCATGCAGTCCATCATCACCATGGCGGCAAAGTGCTGACACCGAGCAATAGCAACAACAACAATAATGGACCATTAAGCGCTGGTATTTTAGGACCGAATAAAGAATGCATTCTGGAGCCACAATCACCGCTCTTTCACATAAGGTAAGTGATGGAGTCTGCATGCAGGAAAAGCACCGAAATTCCAACTCTATATGAAACAATTTTTGATTCAAAGTTTGGAGGAAGCTTTTATTGTATTTCATTTGATATTATTCTTTATTTTAACTTATTTTATTTCATTTCATTTAATTTATTTTATTTTATTTTGTTTATTTTATTTTGTTTATTTTATTTTATTTTATGTTATTTTTTTATATTATTCTATTGTATTTTATTTTATTTATCTCTATTATTATTTATTTTATTTTATATTATTTTTTTTTATTTTATTTTGTTTAATTTCATTTTATTTTATTTTATTTTATTTTATTTTATTTTATATTATTTTATTTTATTTTATTTTATATAAGTTTATTTTATTTTATTCTATTTCATTATATTTTATTTTACTTTATTTTATTTTATCTAATTTTTTTTTATTTTATTATGCTTTCTAATATTTTTTGTATTTTATTTTATTTCACTTAATTTAATTTAATTTTATTTTATTTTTTTATATTATTCTATTGTGTTTTATTTTATTTATTTTTATTAATTTCTATTATTCTTTATTTTATTTTATGTTATTTCATGTTATTTTAATTTATTTGTTATATTTTATTTCTTTTAAATTCTTTTATCTTAAATTAATTTATTTTATTTTATTTCATGTCATCTCATTTTATTTTATTTTATATTATTTTATTTCATTTTATTTTTTTATTTTGTTTTATTTCATTTTATTTTATTCTATTTTTTTTGTTTTATTTTATTTTATTTTATTTTACTTTATTTCATTTTATCGTATTTTATTTTTTCCTTATTTTTTATATCCTATTATCTCTTTTTTTTTATTTGTTTTATTATATGCTATTTTAATCTTTTATTAAATTTTTGTTGGATTTTTTATAATAACTATATTTTCAATTTAATAATTTAACACCAACAAAATGTTTGCTATAAACCCACTTTATTTTATCACCTTCCTCAGATACAAGAGCCTCAGCAGCCTTCAGCTGACGCCTGAAAACACCTCCATAAACGCCACACCGATCTCAAGTAATCCCAAAGGCAACAACAACAACCAGACAACCGCAATACCACCTGATGTGGTACTCAAATGTAACAGCATCCTTAACCATCAATCGCATCATATGCCACACCTACCACCACCACCACCGCCACCGCTCACTAAAAGCGCCAGTACAGCTGGTGGCTTAGCAGCTGTAGCTGGCTTAGGTATGGGCGGTGTGGGCGTAATACATCACAATCCACGCGAAGGTACACTCGACTCGTCACGCAGCGGCGGACGTACCTCTGGCGATTCAAATAAATTGCCCGAAAAGAAGACGCGTCGCTTATCACGTCCGCGTAGTCTATCGAATTTAGTCTGGGATTTGCGGCCATCCAAAGAGAAGTCAAAAAAGAAATTATATATACACCATTTTGATCATCGCCAACAGGCGACATTATATTTGTAGTCGCATGATAAATAGGATGTGTGTTTGTAAGTGTGTATGCGTGCGGAGTTAAAGCGAGGCAAGTTGTCGTCGTCGTGAAAAATGCCATATACAGACTTTAAATAAATTGCAATCTTAGAGATAAAGATTGAGCAGAAGAGTATACGTTTGCTGTGGAGTACACGAAGTCGATGTGTACCAATGAAAGAGGAATGATGTTGCCATCACTTAAGTAAATAAAATGAAAAAAATATACCTACTAAGGGCAAATTAATGTATTATCTTAAGGTAAGTAGAGAAGAAGAATTTAGGAAGCCTTTAGTTATTTATATATTTGATCTAGCAAATAAAGAAATTGCGAAAGTCGGAAACACTCGTTTTTTTACTAAAAGCAATTGAGCTTGAAGTGAGTGCTAAGCTTCCTGCCAGTATGCAATAGTTATTTTGATTATTTTGGAGCGTTTAGCCCGAGCACCGCTTCAGTGAAGAATTCTTTAATTTACTTACTGCTTACTGCCTCCAAATATCCGCCCTAATCTCTTTCATTCAAGAAATAGTTCGAAGGAAACACTACAAACTGAAGACACGAATTCTATTCGTTAATAAATTAGACAATTATAATTGAAAAATGTAAGCAGTTTACAATGGAAATTACTCAGAAAGAAGTAAACTATGTATGCCGAACTAACAGTAATTGCGAAATCCTGAAAATACGACTAATATTATATATTTATATATATATGTATATATATATATATATATATATATAGATAACCTCAACTGTATTGAGTTGCTCAGCCCGAAGCTGAGTAAGCGGAGGTGCCCAACTTGAAAGCAAATAAATGAGCGGCAATATTAGCATAGCGTAGAGAAGTAAATCCGTGAAACAAAAATAAAAAAATTAGCAAAATAGTTAGTACAAACAAAAACAAGAACAATTGTCATCAAAGCAAACATTGAAAGGTGCCGACTGCAATGAACTCCATGCAATGAGCTCTATGCTACTCATGTATTATATACAGACAAAAATAAATACACAATATATTATGTATTCAAAAGAGCACGGTCAGAATCACTCTCCACCAGCTAGCTCTTGCCATTGCGAATGGAAAATCGAGACTTGGGGGCACGATTCAATTTGAAAATTACATTATACCAAGCGAAAATAGCATAGTTACAGCGAGTTTGTTTGTCTTTCATGTAAATATTGCAGCAACAATTTTGCGTATATTTTTGTCAATTTTTTTATTTTAAATGCAATGATAGAGAAGACTGTTGTGATTGCTTAATTTAAATTGCCAAGTGGTCTACTTTGGAATTAATTATGCTGTATTTATGGCCTTTCATTTTGTAAAAGATGGAAATGAACTGATTTCTTTCCATGCTCTTCAAAAATTACTTAACAAAATTAAGCTCATCAAACTTATTTTCGCAATTTAATATTCAAAATCTTAAGGATATAATACTTTTTAGTTTGGTATCCTAAGCTTCAAACTATTAAGAAAGTCCATGGGTCCATTTGAGTCGTTTAACTTCAAAAATATATATATACTCACTGCTCCACCACTAATTTATGTACCCGTATATGCGTACGATTATAACGCAAAATCGTTGCATACCCTTAGGTGCTGGCTTATTATTGGCAATTCCCAAATGGTTTCTGAAATATCAACGCTAAATAGCTTATTAAAATATGTATATGTTTCATTATTATATTGTGTATAATTTTTTAATAATTATTTTATTCATTTTCTCATTTACATTTTCAGCTTCTAATCCGATAACTATGTCCAAATGAAAAATGGCACTTTTAATATCAACGACAAAGTCAATTTCACAATTTTCGAAAGTTTCAAACTGATGTATACAAACAAAGGAAAAACGAAGACAGAAATTTTAAATTATTGAATCCACTTAAATAAATATATATAAACAAATTTTAAACATAATCTTAAAGCATAAATTTAAAAAAAAAACTTAAAAACTTATATAAAATTAGTAGAGAAAGCTTTAAAACCATTTTTCAATTCAATTAATTAGATTGTGCCTTTTATTAAATTTATTTTTCAAAAATAAACGTTTTATTGAAATTATATAAAATATAAAATATAGAAATGTTGAAAAAATTACGTTTAAATGAGCAATTTCAAAACAAATTAATTTGTCATTTGCGCATTTTCTTGCAATAAATTTCATATATAAAAAACACTTTTAAAAATCTCTTGAGAAAAATTACACCAAAAAAATATTTGAAAAATATTCGCTTTTAGATATTTTTCCTATAATATTTTTATTTCATATGAGAGAGCCCTAATAATGGAAATGCAAAAAAAAAAAATATTGCAAACGCATAAACGCAATACAGCACGGACGGAAGTGTTGTTTCTGACTTCGAATTGAATCTTTTGTAGATTCTTTTTGAGGTAGGCGATGGCATTGAGGGAAGCCATGAATATTAAAAAAAAAAATTAAATTAAATAAAAATGAATTTTAAACAAATAATTCAAATAATTTTTAATGCAACATTTCAGCAATGTCATAAGAAAAATGCTAAAATATAAAAAATATTTAAATAAAAATCATAACAACAACACATCAAGTCTTTAAAATTGTGATTTTAATTTTATGTTAATGAAAATGTAAGTTAAAAGTTGAGTATGGTGAATTTTTTTAAATTAAATCCTAAAACAAAAAGCAAAAAAAAATATAAAAAAAAAATTAAAAAGAAAACTTTTTAAAACGATTTGCAGCGCCGCAATAAATTTTAAATTAAATAATTGAAAAACTTTATTTTAATTAAACATACAAATACATGCAAGCGCACATACATACATATATCCCAATAGGTTAAATAACTTTAATATTTTTATTTATGTATATCTAATTTTTAATACTTTTGTCAGTCAACTTTTACTTTTAATGATTAAAGAAAAATATATTTGAATTTTTTTTTAATATATTTTTCCAATATCCTACTCAAAGGTAATTAGGTTAGTAAAAATTAAGTTAAATAATGAATGAATTTATGCTTAATGATATCAGTCATATAACCAAGTGAGTGTAATTGTTGTTGCATATTGTGTAGGTTAGCTCGAATTTTGACTCAACTCAAGCAAGTTTAGTTTGCACTCAATGACAATTGCGCTCCCTACGAAATGACTCAAGTTAATTTTGCATTTAAATATGCAAATTCATACATAAATATATATTTACTCAGCTGTTCAAATACAATGCTACTACTATACTCATACAGTTATCGATTTGAATTGTTAAAATAGTAGAATGCATAAAAGAAAGTCAATTCAAAGAAGATATCCTGCACAAACAACGGTAAACTAGTTAAAAATGCAAAAATAAAGAATTATTAAATATTACAACAAAAAATGGAAAGAAATATACTTACACACATAAATAAAGAATTCCACAAAAAAAAAATAAAAAATAGAAAAAAACAACATATGATCAGCAAAAGAACATAAACTGCCACAAAAAAGTGCAACAATTTTTATGTAAAAAAATACAAGAAAAAATATTAAACAAAACTTGCATACGTACACATACGCAAATATACGAAACACGAGCCAGAAAATAAATAAAACCCAAAATTAATTTGCACAAAGTAAGTAAAAATTTCAATAGAAAAATGCAAAAAATTATTGAAAATAAATTATATGAAAGCTCTAAATATAAAAACTGAAAATAAAGACAAAACAAAAAGCAATTTTAAAGAAATCCAATTACATAAACATACATACATATACAGCTCTACTATAATACAATACTCGTATATACTACAAATACATAACTTATATGTTTGTAAATGTTGCGTGTGTATATTTCGTTCACTTGTTTCAATTAGTTTTAAAACTACTTTAATTTAGTTTATAAAAAAAATAATAATTAAATGGAAAGAACTTGTAAACTGTACTTAGTCGATAAACCTACATATGCATTTTAGTATTTTATGTCCAGTAAAAATTGTGTCGCGTAAATAAAGAAAAACATATATGAAAAATAAAAATGGCTATTTTTTATTGTTGTATGGGAAAGGGTTGGTAATAAGCAGAAGATTTTGCTATTTTCTTTTTTCAAAGAAAGATTAAGTTAAGATATCCATACACACTGACCTAATACTAGACTTTATAGAGACCTGCGAAGTTAAAAAGGCTTTGGCTGTAGACTTTGGAAACTTCTACCAGTCCTCTGAGCATCAAATCCCATAATTTAGCGTCACCAAGAACCCAACTTAGAATCGATCAAATAACTCAAGAAGACAATCTAATTTCAAAATTATTTTTTTTTTCGATGCAGCTGTTTGGATAGAAAATTTTGGATAATAGACCATCATGGTCTGAGCTTTTTAATATTTCAAAAAATGTTTGCACCCTAATGAAACCGTCGTTAAGAAAATTACTAAAAATACAGCAAAAAAACATTAAAAAAAATAAAAATGAATTATAGAAATAGAAGCAAAGTTATATTAAATTTAAAAAAATAAATAGCTTTGACTAAACCAAACCAAAAAAAAATAATGTAAAAACAAAACATATAAAGTAAACTTAAATATGATAAACTAAAAATCAAATATAATAAATTAACATAAATTAAAATAACATAAAAAGAAATAAATTATAATAAAATACATAAGAATTGCTAAAATAAAAGTAGAATAAAAAATAAATAAAAAATAATAAAACAAAAAATAGAATAAAAAATTAAAATGAAACAAAAATATATTAACTTAAAACAAAGTAAAATATAAAACTAAAAAATAATTAAAAAATGTAAATGACATGAAAGAGATATGAATGAAATTTAAAATAAATTAATAAAATAATATATAAATAAATTAAAATAAAATAATACAATAAAATTAAATCAAAATTAAAAATAAATTTAAATAGAAATAAAATTAAAACATAGTAAAATAAAAATAAAGTTAAATAATTAAGAAAACTAAATAAAAGTAAAGTAAATATATGATTGAACTATAAAATAAATTAAAATAATGTATAAAAAAACTAAATATAATAATATTATTTAAAACGATATAAAATAAATACACTTAGTTAAATAAATAAATTAAGTTAAAATAAAACCAAATAACTAATTTAAAATAAAATAAAAAATAATTAAAATAGCTGAAGTTTATTTAATTTAAATCAAACTCAATTAGAAAAACTAATATAATATAAGACAAGCTAAGATAAAACCAAATAAATTAAAGTAAAATCTAATATATAAACAAAAAAATAAAATAAAATAAGTTAATTAATTACTTAAGTTAAACAAATAAAGTAAGATGTGAATTAAATTAGACATAAAACAAAAAGAAAATATTTCAAATATAAGATTAAAAAAAAACACTAAATGAAAATAATAATAAAAAAAAATTAATAACTTAGTATTTACATAAAATAAAATATAAAATAGACTAAAAAATGATATAAAACACCATAAGCTAACTAAAAAATTGATTGCAATAAAATAAGAGAAAATAAAGATAAAATAATACAAAAAAATAATTAAAATAACTTAAGCCAAACAGAATAAATACAACAAAACTGAATAGTTTCATTTACTTTAATTAAAATTAAAATATAATGAATTAAACAAAAATTAAATAAAAGAAAATAAGATAAAAAATAAAATAAATTGTGATTAAAATTAGATAATAAAGCAAAAAATTACAATAAAACAAATTTAAAAAAAAAAAACATATAAAAAAGCAATAAAAACTAAATTACTTAAATAATTTAAAATAAACTAAAATAAAAGTTTAAAATATAATAAAATAAAAGTTAACTAAAATAAAAGAAATAAAAAAATAAAATAAATTAAAAAAATTAAGTAAAATAAAATAAATAAAATAATATTAAATAGAATACAACAAAATAAAGTAAAATATAATAAAATAAAAGTTAACTAAAATAAAAGAAATAAAAAAATAAAATAAATTAAAAAAATTAAGTAAAATAAAATAAATAAAATAATATTAAATAGAATACAACAAAATAAAGTAAAATATAATAAAATAAAAGTTAACTAAAATAAAAGAAATAAAAAAATAAAATAAATTAAAAAAATTAAGTAAAATAAAATAAATAAAATAATATTAAATAGAATACAACAAAATAAAGTAAAATATAATAAAATAAAAATTAACTAAAATAAAACAAATAAAAAACATTAAATAACGTAAAATAAAATATAATATAATATATTGCAGTAAAATGAATAAGGGGAAATAAAATCAAATGAAATAAAATTAAAATAAATAAAATAACATAAAATAAAATAAAATAGATCATATTGGATGAGTGCACAAGTTCGTGCCCGATTCCGCTGGATGCCGTTCGAATCGTTTGAGAGTGGCGCTCCTGAAAGAAATATATACATATTATATGTCATTGGAAAGGTGACAGCCCGAACTGTAAATCAAGCGTAAAATAACTTCATTTTGATTTGAGTTGCCTAGTGAAAAGACGCATGGAAGATGGACAACGAAAAAGATCATATGCGTCATATTATGTTATACGAATTCTGCAAAGGAAAAACAGCAGGCGCTGCAACTAAAGATATTCGCGAAGTTTATTTGGACCGTGCTCCAGCACTCCGCACAGTAAAGAAATGGTTCGCGAAATTTCGTTCTGGAGATTTTAACCTCGAAGATCAACCTCGCAGTGGACGGCCTTCTGAGCTTGATGACGATGTTCTAAGGACTTTAGTTGCGAATAACTCACGTATTTCGACGGAAGAGGTTGCCAGTGAATTGAACGTCAACAAATCAACTGCGTTTCGTCGTTTAAAAAAGGTTGGGTACACTTTGAAGCTCGATACATGGGTGCCACATCAGTTGAGTGAAAAAAACAAAGTGGACCGTATGTCAACAGCAATTTCTTTGCTTCGACGGATCAAAAACGAACCTTTTTTGGATCGGCTCGTGACTGG